TGAAGGGCAATATTTTTTATGAAGAATGAATTTGATTATTTGAGAATGTGCATGAATGGAGAGTTGATATCTACATCATATGAATTTTATACTGTAGATCGGGTAAATAACCTGCAGCCATGAAATGGGACTCGTAGGGTTGTCTTTTTAACTTGCAATGTCACTTACTTTTAAGTGGTTGAAGCATTTTTAAGTCTTTCATGACCGATATGTGTCCCATTTTTGATCTCGATAGTGTATGTACATGTATTTTGTTTACCTACTTTATATGAGTGAACAGTGAAATGTTTCCCAGGGGGCATTGTATAGAAATATATATTTGTTCCTTTTAACAGGTGCATAATTTCTAAGAAATGATGAAAAATAAAACTGAAAAAAAAAATGTCAAAATGTCAGAATAAATTAACTTATATGTAGCAAAATACATGGATCTTATGTCATTATTTCACAGGAGGAACAATTTAATATGGTGACATTGAGTGCATAAAAATTAATTTTAAAAGTTGGAATATGATTTGTAAAGGTTGGAATACCATTGGTGAAGTACTTTCGTGGAAAAATATGGAGGTGTGATTATTAATCTTGAAAAATAAGTGTGAAAAAAGTGTTGGTTAAAATGCCAAATCAAAATATCAAGTCCATAGAGACTGATATTTTGATTTTACATGTGCCAAAAAAAAGGATGTACCATTAAGTGAGAAATATGTGGTGGAAAAATAGTTGATGTTGAATACAGATATTGGTAAACTAAAGGATTTGACTATTAAAAGTGCAGAGGAAATGGTAGCAGTATTATATGAACAGGATGTTTGATTCCTGGTAAAGAAGAAATATTTGAAAAAAAGTACAACTTAAATTTAAAGCCAACCCCCCTCAGTCATAAACTATTGATAATTTGTATGTGTGAAACATAATTTAGAGCTTAGGTTTAATTATATCCTTTTAAAGCTTTGCATAATGTTGCCCAATTTTGTTGTGACATGTTCATTTAAATATCTCTTTTCAAACTTGATAGTCCAATATAAAGGAACAAAAGATATATTCCTTGAGTTCTAAGTCCCCAAATACCAATACTGTATTAGGGAAGTTTTTTTACAACCTGTCAAGTTTAGTTAATCTTTGTCTATAGAAACCTGAGTAATTATGCCCAAAAGTTAACTTTAAGGTATCAAGTTGTGCATGTCGCAATGGGTACTATTATGTTGTAAGTACCTAGGATAATATTAGTCATATGCAACACTTAAAATATTTGGAACACTTTTTGTCATACAGATTTCTAAAACTTGGTATTACTGATCAGATATTGGACAATTTCTTTGGATTGATAAGTGACATTTGAAAGAAAAAATGATATTTAACAGCAAAGGAATTTTTTTTCGATTTCATTTGATAAATTATAATAAAGTCATTATGGTTTGTTTTGGTGAATATTAAAGCTATGTGGGATATTAATATGAACATAAAAGTGGTCATACTGACAATTTTAAAAAAGAAAGACAAAAATAATATGAACCATAGACTCCTTTCCAAAATTCAAGCAAATATACACTTAAATGTGTCCAGCGAAAATATAATTTCTTTTATTGCTAATATATCGGATAATTTTACATCGTGTGTAACTCAGGAGTGATTCACAATGTCAGATCTCTATCGTTTGTGGGAACATGTTGACTGAAATAAAATTGCATATCATTTCAATATTCTCTGTGTATTTCACAATTTTTCACAAGTCTATCTCAATATCTCTGCACATGTGTATTTCGCAATTTTTCACAATTCTATCTTATCTTCAGAATGTTACTAACACTTTTTTTCCATATTCAATACGGTCCCATGATAAAGGATTAGGAAAGTTAACGAGAACCTTAACTTAATAAATTTAATCCTTCAATCGTACTAATTCTTTTAAAAAGGCACAAATGAAATTTTTAATGAAATAAAATGATAAAATATCATAAGAGGGGTTTTTGGGACAGTTATATGAGATCATTTTTGGTGATATGACCCATTAAAGAGTGCTTATATTTCCTGTTACGACCCAAGATACTGGAATGATTTAGAACAGCTGATATTTTTGTGTGCTACGCTTGACTTTACACGTCTGTCCCAAGAAATCCGGTTTGCCTGTCAAACAGTAGCTCATAGTACAAGGAAATATAGGCTTGCTATGTCATGATGTGATGAATAATCCATGAGCTGTTTTACTACAACTGATGTAGTGTCTCTGTGTGCCTACTCCCAAATGATCTATACGTCTACAGGTTTCCTTTTAATATTTTTGAATACGTAACTGAATTGAATAAAAATGAAAACATTTACCCTAAAATTTTGGGGCCCAGTTAGGTTATTTTCGAGTCAGATTATTTATTTTCTTCTTCACTGAAAAAGTCTAACAAGCAAAAAAAAAAAAAAAAAAAGTAAAAACGGAAGAAGAAAACATCAAAGTTGACAACTCTAATTCGTGATGGGGTGGGAGGGGGTGTCAGGGACAGATTATTTATTTCCTGTCCATTCAAAGAAATAATTAATTTCCTGTCCAGTCAAAGAAATATTATTTATTTTTAACATTTTCGAAGACAAATTTTTAATTTCAAACATCTGCAACCCCCCCCCCCCAAGAATCAAATCTAAGCAAGATTCGTTGAGAACAAAACATTGTACTGACGCCTTTTCGGACGAGTTTTAGTCTCGACGGATCTCCCTGAGATTACGAACGTGGTAATGCACGTGTGCACGTGCACAATAAAATAAGTCATTGCCATTTATCCGGCAAAGAAGCGTACATTAATGTATGCGGATAGTTTTTCAAAGGGATAACGTTTGCATGTACATGTACATATGGGGAAACTACAAAAATGACTGCATCCAAAACTACTAGTACCATATAATCCCTATTGATTAACCCCCCCCCCCCTAAAAAAAATCAATGTACAGTGATTAAAATCATCTAGAAAAAAAATGGATTTGAAGAAAGTGAAATATTATTTTTATAATCAATTTCTTTGCAAATGATCATTTAGCATAAGATGGATGGATTATCTTCACTTAAAGTAAAGTTTAATATTTTAGTGTTTCTGTGATTTATATTTTTTTCAAAAGATTTTTTGAAATTAAAATATTGAAATTTTAGGAAGAAATTCCAAAATAACCGCCCCCTTTGAATAAAAATTTTCTAAGCGCCCGGGGCGGTTAAAGGGATTATTATTTAAATCAATAAAACATGACCGACCCCCTAAATTAAAAAAAAAACAAAACAATTATTCAAGTCTCGTAATGTATTGCAAGATTGTTAGGTTTTGCTTTTAAAAAAATATTAAATTTAGAAGTGCCGCCTTTATTTTTGTCAACTATTCTAGAAAGAGCAAGATTTTCTCTAGAGATTCGCATCAGAGACCGATTTTCTAATTTAACTGACTAACGTAAAACGGATAGTAGTCCTCACAGCGATTTCCATAGGATGTATTATATGTGGAGAAAACGAACAGTATTCGAGCTCAAAAGTCCATTAAACATTACAAAATGAAATGGGAGTGGAGCAAACACGGACCTCCAAAACGTCAGGGGTAGGATCATGTGCCATGGAGGAGTGAACATCCCCTGCTGACCGTTCACACCCGGTCTAACGATTTAATTTATATATATACACTATCATAAAGTCGAATGTAAACTGGCGGTTTTACTACAAATTATTATGCCATTATATAGATATACACCCTGAATTGTATGATTTTTTTTTCTCATTGATCTTGATCGACAAGGAGTACTACGGCGGACACGACGGGGCGGCAGGGTATATTTTTTTCCTCCATGACACCTGATCAATCCTCTGATGTTTTGATTAAGAGCTATGTCTGCAATTGCTATACTCCTAATGTGTATTGCTTCAATGGATCTTTGAGCTTCGTTTGGGTTATTTCCCCCTTTTTTATTTGCTTTTCAACTTTTAAAACTAAGTAAAAAAAAAAATTTTTTTCCTCTGGTTCCCTCCCTTTCAAAAACGATGGCAAGTGCCTGTATGGTAAAATTATTAGAGATTAAAAAATGTATTTAACATGTATATTAATTAAATAAAAATAATTGAGCCAGGTATTTGAAAAATAAAAACATTTTACATGTAGTAAATACTGGAATTAAGGGATAATTCCGAAAAGGTTTTTTTTAAATAAATATTAGCTCCTCGATTTCTTCTGTCATATTCTGAATAGATGTATTTTTGATTCATGGCAGCAATTCAAACAAAACATTTTGACATGCAGCCTCTGGATAGGAAGGAAAGAAGGAAACTCGTAGCAACCTTTAACTCGGAAACCCTCTTGTATTTTTTTTTTATTTATGAGTGTATATAATGACATTTGTAAAAAGAACTGCAAACCCATATATAACTCTCTCTCTCTCTCTCTCTCTCTTTTCAACTACTCTTTCCCGAAATGAATTATTAATCGAGATTAATCAAGATTCCTATATGCTATGTAGCATGTACATCATTATTAGGCATTAGGCAAAGTAAAGAATGAAATTTAGAGAACATAAATGAGATTTTTTTTATGAAAAAAATTTAATTAATTTACAATATAAGGAAAAGTTCGTGCTTTTCCTGAGACCATGGAGAAGGGTTTACAATAATGAAGGTCAGTCCGGCCTTTATTTTATCTGTGCCAATAAAGAGAGAAAAAATTAATATTTAATTATCTTTAATTTTGAAAATGTGACAAAAATGGATTTGTCACTTTCGAGAGTGCCTCGAAATGTTAGTAGACCTAGTATCTGAATATTTATATCAGCATTGCACATAAACTTTGTTATATTATTAAACTTTATTTTTTAAGATCTCGATAATTTTTTATACAATAAAAGAAAAATGAAGGGAGAAAACACGATTAAACTTTTTTGTTTTCTTTAGGATGTATGATTTCAAGACTAATATCTTGTTGGATCTTTGACTAAAAGCATTTTTAATGATATATTCCCATTATCCCGCGAAATCAAAGGAACTCTTCATTTTAGAAGGCGGCTTTAGTCTACATAATCAATGCAGAATGGCGGATGGTGAAAATGTGTATTACAGAGGAGAAGGGATTTGTAATCTTGTTCTTGCCACAGCAAAGGTAATTATCATTTTAAATGTATGACTCATTTACTAATTACCAAATGCATATTTCCGTGGATTAATTTTCAGTTTTAGGAGAGTGAAACGACACAAAATAAGCCATGCGGTGTATTTATAAATGCGTGTTGCTTGACGTTGACCTACACTATTAGGCAAATCAGGCGTTGATCCTTTCCACATGTGAGGATGTACTTGTTTGCCAGATAAACCAAAGATTACCATAAATATTTCTCTTTTCATTAACAATGATGTTCTGTGATTCTCTTTGATTTCGACATCGGATCGAATAATTTTGAGTTGATAAACATGTACATGTGGAGTGTTGGTAAAATGGGTAGGCAAACCCGGGCCGGGGCAAATTAAAAGCCGGGGCAGATCGAAGTTTTTCATATTTCTGTCTTCATACTTTATCGATCGAGCTGAAATTTTCAGAATCTATTTAATACTTGATTATTTATATTCGCTGCTAAAATTGCCCTGAAATACTTTATATTGTAGATTTTATCGGCGATTGTTGATTTTCAAGTTGGTAAAATGGGTAGGCAGTTTCCCAAGTTCACAATTTACGTTTTCAGACATATGCTGCATAAAGTCCATAAAGTTATGAATAATTCTGGTGTTTAAGAATATATATTAACAATAAACAGGTTGGGCACACACCCCCAAATGGTTATTTAACCCCCTCTCTCTGGTCTCTCTCTCTCTCTCTCTTTCTCTCTACCTACCAAATGGTGGTCTTTTTTATTCAAATCCAATTTTCATTGAAATAAAGCAAAAGCGCATTTACTTAGGCATTGGGGAATTTTAATTAACATATTCATCGCACATTTAATACAATTTAGTCAATTTTCCATGTGGAATTTCTGTGGAACTTCGTAAAAACGAAACCCACAGCTGTTCGTGACGGCCGAACTATTAGCTCAAACAATACGAAAAAATATTTTGTTGTGTGTAGTTCGGTAAAAAATACATTTAAGTAAGAGGTGTTAGTCTAGAGAAGTAACTTTTCAAACGATCTTTCGATCTGCGTCTATAAAAATCTTTATAAAATCCCGTTAAACACGAGCTCCTCGAATCTTATTCGTATGGTGGGCACTTAGTGCTATAATATTCATTTTTCCTACATTTTCATGGAACATTTATTCTTTATTTTCTTTTAGGATGAAGTTACGATTTCTGTGCGACCCTTTGTGGTTTAGTATGCATATCTATGTTGTATCTACTATATTTCTTAAATATTTTTGAATAAAAGATTTACAAAGTGACATTTGCAATTATTCCAGATTTTATTCCAAGATTATGGTTTTCGAGTGATTATTTTAATATGAGTTCACTGCATATCGCATTTTTATAAAGAAAAAAGCCATTGCTTACGAAATAAACTAAATAAAAGCGAATTCTTACCATTCCTCTTATTTTACTTTTTCAAAATTAACACTTATGGGCCTCCGTAGTTAATTCAGTCTTTTGACCCAAGTTTGGAAAAGATCGTCATTTTTGATTGGTTTAGATAATTGATCGGTTGCCCGGATGACAGAAATATGAAGTGATCTACACGATTGATAGGCTCAACTACGCGCGAGACGGAGGGAATTTTTCTTTTAAAGTTAAAACAGAGAAACGTTACATTTGTTTACATAGGTGATGATTTTGTCAATTATTTGAACGACACTGCGCAAAAAAGTCCGCGTTGAAATTTTAATTTTTTTCGTTCAGAGTACAGATAAATATCTATATTTTATTCCCCGTGAGTTGAAATTATGCGCCATTTCACGTCATTCCAGAGAACTGAACAAAACGATTTTTCTCTCCCATTTGGTGGTTAATAAAGACGCCGATATGGGCGAATGACCACCAAACGGGGGTTAAATGACCATTTGGCGGTGTGTGCCCAACCTGATAAATTAATATTTCTTCATTGTTTATTGTAATATTAACATAAAATAACATGTTTTAAGAAAAACCGGGTTATTAAAACCGGATCCGATCACCCGGGACAAATCTGAAAATTCCGGAATAGTTGTACAGGTTACCAATGTTTGTCACCTGTTGGAAGCTTGTATTTAATTTTTTAAATAGATAATTCATTTAAAGAATATTTGCAGTTAGCATAATTAATGCAAAATCCCTACCAATGGCTTTAATTTAATCACACACAAGCTCTTTGATCAATTTGGGCAATACAAAATTGGCTTACCTTATTAGGTTACTAGGAGAAGAAGCTGGGAAGAAAATTGTTGTGATGTAAAAATAATAAAAAGATCAAAGTGCTCTTATAAGGACACCTCCATGTTGTTAGAGCTGGGCAATGTCACAAAAGTGATAGCTAACATCCTCTAATACAGACAATTGGTTTTATTTATTTCGGAATTTTCGGGTTTGCCCCGGGTGATCGGATCCGGTTTTAATGCCCCGGCTTTTCTGAAAATGCGCAAATTCGGCATACTTATAGCTTTTTTAATGTAAAACTAATTATATTTCGTTAATTTAGAGTGTAAAATATTGGAAAAGTCCACAATTGTAATAGTTTAATGAGTCTTAATTAAAAAATACCGTAAAATGTCGTATTGATTTTGCCTACCCATTTTACCAACCTGGAAATGAACAATCGTCCAGAAAATCAGAAATATTGCGTATATTAAGGCGATATTAAGAGTGAATACAAAAGAATCTTAAAGGAACATAATCTGAAAATTTCAGATTAATTGGTGGAGTATTAGCGGAGATATTTGAAAAACTTCGATCTGCCCCGGCTTTTAATTTGCCCCGGCCCGGGTTTGCCTACCCATTTTACCAACACTCGTACATGTGACCACTTTAGGGCACTTATGTTTTACCTAAAATTTGAATGAGTATACACAATTGATACTTCTATTGTATTATATTATCTCGTGATAACATTTACTGAATATATATTTTTTAGTCTTGTTCATGATCATCTGTACATTTTCGATAACTTTTATCAAGATTATTAAAGGGAGGGACGGGGAGAGAAAGGAATTTGTAGGGGAAATTATATCAGACGTGTTGCCAAAATTTGAAACGATGTAAAAAGAAATCTGTGTACCTGTATGATTTTTATTTGTTTCTTTTAAAATTTCAGGAGAAACAAGTTTATCGTTTGATGAAAGCTGGCAAATACTCGGGCAAGCAGGGCTGCACCAAAGGTTGTCCTGCTCAGGTGGTTTGAGTTTGACATTTAACATCATGAGTAATTCAAACATTTCACATAATGTTTCAGATACGCAAAACAATCATGAAATTATATCTAGTCTAGGAATGTTTTCATCACGCTGTTGGAATAAATAATCCAGAATTTTAAAAATGTGAATGAATTATTTATAGTAGATATAGTGTATATAGTATATTTAATTTGTGAGATTTAAATAAATTGAATAAAATTTCTGTGTTTTATCTGTAGATAATAAAGTATCAATTCTTTCATTGGTTTTGAATTTTATTTTTAATTTTCTTTCATTTTCTGTTCACTCTATTTTTCAGGAGAGATCAAAATGGATTCATCAGTCATTAGAAGACAACGTAGAGTACATTAAGAATATAATGGTTCCCCTGCTGACTGATGCATTTGTGGTGATCCCAGTAAGTTCTATATGGTCATTTTAATGTCATTTTCCCCTTTAGATTTATCAGATGAAATCAATTCTCTCAAGCTACTGAATTATGCTGAAATGACTCCTGTCATATTTGTTAAAGTCAGTGTGGATTCTGTCAAAATAATCATATGCATTCCTGGTTTTTTATGCTATAATATTCATAGTATATGCTTGTATAACAAATCAAGTAGGATTCAATTCAATTCATATACTGGGCAATAAAATGCTGGCAAATGTGGATTACTTTAATGTTGTTTATTATCTTCATGCATAATTCATATTCCCTAGGAAAGTGACAAATAATTTTCTGATTTACCAGAACACCTCATCGATGACCCATTCTTTTGAGAAAACATCTTTCACGCTAAAACCATCGATTTAACAATGCATTCCTGACCCCCACCCCACCCCCACACACATATTTAATGTTCAAGTGATATTGAAATTACTTTAGGAGAGATTTTAATATGTAGATGGTGATGTCTTCGGGTTTCAAATATGTAGAGGAAAGGGGGTGGGGGTTGCGCTATTATCAGCTTTAAGTTTTTATCCTATGAGAGTTGCAGATATTTTAATGCATAACCTCTGCTTAGTATACCAGCTGTATAGTGTTATCTCCTGAAAAGCCAACCTATTGATGCTGTCTTATCAGATATCTGACTGGAACAAACAGGATTGGGGCAGAAAAGCTCCCTAAAACAGAAACTCAGATTGGGGCAGAAAAGCTCCCTAAAACAGAAACTCAGTCAAAAATGTTCTACGTATATCAGACATTTTATTGGCTTGAAGTTAAAATACAGGCAGTGATGACTTTTTTTCTTTTCGACAAAAAAACGTTTGATCCTTTCATTTTCCTGTAAGTCTCCTGTTTTTTGTGACTTTGAGTTCAAACAAAGTTCAAAATTAGACATAAATTGTTAAAGTAATAAATAAGTGTTCCTCCTGTGGTGTTTTTCTGTTAATGGTAGATGTAAATTATTCTGTTTTTATTGCATTGTTCTTCATAACAACAATAAATCTCTGATCAGAGGAATATTATTAGAAGAACAATTTCATCCTCTGTTAGATCCATTTAATATTCCACTTTCTGGTTTTCCAATAAATGGATAAGGCTATCTAAATTTAATTCCCTGGTTCTCAGGCCAATTTTCTCCAAAACAGATGCGGGAGGGCGGCATTTTATTTTTCATTTTATTGGCAATAAAGTAGATGAGGGAGGTATTTTTTTTATTTTAATTTCCGAATTTTCTTTAACATAAAGATAATTTTTTTAATCACAGATATACTTTCCATTTCTGGTCAAAATTTCTGCTTTATCCATTGCTTAACAGCGTGTAAACATCGTAGGTAATGTCCTCGAATGTATTTTCAGACGAAGTAGCCAAAATCTCATTGTAAATGGCTACCGGAAGTGATATTTGAATACTAAACTACGAAACAAATGAGGTCGGAATTTTTTTTCCCGGATTGGTCTCTGCAATACCAACTTTTTATTTTATCAAAAATACAATAAAATCGGCAATGCGGCTACCTCAAAACGGATGCGCGCGGGCCTGAGAACCAAGATTTCAATTTTATATGGCCTAAACAGTGGTTTTTTTTTTTTTTTTTGTTAAGATAAGTTTATCAAAGTTCATGAGTCCAAAAAATATTAAAGGTCACTCAGAATTTCTTGAAGAGAACAATAAAGGGGGGGGGGGGTGTTATATACTTGACATTGCTTACACCAACAACTGACACATACAAGTCAATATGTAAACTTAGGGGAAGGGGGGATGAGTCTAGCTTCAGACCCCCATCAGAATCTGAAAGTGTAGTACGAACTTTAAATGTATTTTGTCCTTAAATGTACATTTTATTAATTTAATGTTCAAATGCAGATAAAATATATTGAAAAATACACATGAATGAACAAGTCATTCAACTGACCTTTTTCAATAATTCTTTTCTTTTAATTTCTTATTGCCCTGTACTGCAACATTTTTAACATTTTGGCATCGTCATTGTGATGTCACTTCAGTGAGAAATCCTGCATTATATTTCTTCAGATCTCTTTTTCTTTTGTTCCTACATGTATTTGTCCATAATTGTTGAATAATCAAGGTATATTTGTGTTGATTGCTTTATGTCAGGTAAAGATCAAGTATCTGGATCTTACCAGCTGAGCAATGTGTTGCACAGACATGTTTTTCATCAATTTTTTTTTTTCATCTCATATTTTGGGAATGCTGCCATAAGCAATTGAGCATATTGATTAAAAAAAAAAACACATTGGAATTTTTTCTATCAAGCAGAATGTGCGTGTTACTTTATTTCTGAATATACAACTGCAAGTGAATTTATATGTCAAGATTTTTCTCTATGGTTTTAACCAATTACTTCAAAATTCTGACATCAGCTGAGAACAAGCTGTGGTAATTGCCCTGAAACTTCTACTTTTTAGATGAGGCCATGTGACCCTGTCTATTAGTTTGCTTTCAGTTGAAACCCCAAAACAAAAGTTGGTTTGAGAACATATGAATTTTATTTACACTAAATGAATGAGTGCCAAAATTGTTTTGATTAAAATACAAATATGATGTATCAAACTAAAGAAAGGAATATGAAGATTTTTTGTACTCAAATTAAAGAACCGTTTTTTAAACAATTTCATGTGATAATTACTTAACATAAGTTAATTGGTATTAAAAAAAATTTCAACATACAGTAATGAAATTTATAAAATAATAAAGTTTATTATTTGACCCCTATCTTTCAGTACTGTTGCAGTACTTTGATTTTTAAAGAAATAAAAAATTTCTTATTATAACCCCACCCCATCCCCCACCGAAAAGAAGGGGGGGTTATATAGTGATGGGGTTATCCATTTATCTGTCTGCCTATCCATCCTTCTAGCTGTGCATCCATTTTAATGAAATTTAATGATACTTTCACAGATTCTTTATTAAATAGTGCCATTGTGACCTTCCATAGCAAAACATGGACTTTGCCATTATACATAAATGGGAGGCGGGGAGTATCATTTAGTGAGCTCAATGCTCAGAGTACCTTTAGTTTCTATTATGTGTTTTTACTATTTTGATTATTTCATCACAGATCAATTTTCATTTCTAAACTTTAGCTTATTATAGAAAGTTGAGGAAAATTTACATTTTAAACTTTTAAATTAATAAATTTTGTATGAAAGATTAACGTTCCTATGCATTCATGTTGGCGCAGTGGTCAGAGCGATTGTTCTAGATTCACGGAGTAAAGAGTTGTTCCTTACGTTGCGGGTTCAAATCCCACTGCAGGATGTGGAGACTGGTCCTTTAAATGAGACCGTGTAAACCAAATTACTGTATTTCAGTAGGTGCTAGCACCAAAAGATCCCTCACTACTCAATAGCCCTATAAGTGCCAAGATCTAAATACTGTAAAAGCACAAATATTGGTGGGGGATTAAATTTTGGTTTATTTTGTTGTTAACAATACTGTAAATCACTTTTTATTTGCGAGAACTTTATTTTCGCGTAATTACGCGAGACAGTGTGCTCGCGAAAATTTAATTCTCACGTATAATAGTATTCCTTAAGATTATGTAGAGCAATCACCACAATTCATGAAAAATTTGTCTCGTTAATCAAGAGTCAATGACTATCTCACGAAAATAAGGTGTCGCGAAAATTTAGTGATCTACAGTAATCAACGAAATTAAATCCCACACGAAATTTTATATGACTATACAATGAATAGGGTTACTTTCAAAACAAGGAAATTAAATGCCCACGAAACTATTCTTGATAACAAATCAACAAAATTTTATCCCCACGAAAATTTGCGCTTCTGCAGTCAACGTAAATATGCAGTTCTCTAGCGGCAAATGATGGTATCTCAATATGAGTGAAGAATTCTCCAATAGGATAAACAAAGAAAGAGAAAACAATTCTTACATTCACATGTTTTTTCATGTGACTCTCAGTGTATGGCATAAGATTACAATAATTGAAACAGACCAGATAAAGAAACCCGATTTTACACTATTAATTTTTCCATTTGCAGGGAGTGTCGTTTACCTTAAGTCGAATCTGCTTTGAGCATCTGAAAGTCGCATTAATAAAAATTAATGTGGTTAAATGTTACGTGTATTTTCAGAAAATCCGTGAAATACCCAGAGGGTTTACAGAGAGGATTGAAGAAGAAATCAAACACATTAGAACAGGTGAATATTTCATAAGCCTTACACATATATTATTGCATACATTGTACACAAATAGGAGAAGAGAGAAGGGGGAATATTTCATACGTTTTAATCAGTACAGGGGAAGAAAGAAAGGGGAATATTATACAATCATCAGTGTTGTTTTCAAGTTAAAACAATAATAAAGTACAGGATGAATGCAGTACTCTGAACCTAAAAGTCAAATTGAGTAGGGTACTTCAAAGATTGCTATCGACCAAAAGTAATTGTTTCATTGTATTATTTTGTGATTTACCGAATCTACAAATTGGTTAAGAAAACCTTAATTCTTTCTTGGTTTTAGTGTCTGTAGAAGTTAAAGTCAGATGCAGAGTAATTTCATTAGACACCAGTATAACACACATAGAGAACTAAATAAGAATAACTCAGTGATATAAAAAATACATATGCCTTTCGAAATTTGGATAACATTGGAACATTATTACCTATCAGATTTAGCAAAAAATAGGTTACTTTTGTTTTTGACAATTTGTACTTGAAATTTAAGGTGCAATTACCATTAACTTCCAGCTGCCTTCGTAATACTGTTATAAAACTTGAAAGTTGGTAATTTCTTCTGTTGTTTTAGCAATAGCATTCTTGAGCATGTTGAAGCGTAAAAGAGGTTGGTTATTTAAGTTTGTATTTGCATGCCATGGAAATAAAGGGGGTGCTGAAAAATAATTAGAATAAAAGATAAATGTTTTGGTACAGATCTTTTCATGAGAATATCTTAAACTGTTGAAGAATTGAATTTGTAAGATGACTTATTTATATGTATAGACCTAAAGCTAATTGGGTTGGAATGTATTGTCAATATATCATTTGGGGAAGTTGAAATCCATACACAGTATATCAGTTGGAAACTTGTACCTTTTTGGTAATGGATATGTGCTTAATATATATGTGTATAACTATGCAATAATGTCATTTACTGGTTGTTTTGGACTTCTTGATTAAGCAATAATTAGAACAACAACAAAAAATTTCAAGAAACATCTATTGCCTTAACTTTACACAGACTCTGACTCTCAGTGGTTAGGTCTTGAGGAGAAAAAAAACGTTTTCATGACTCTGATTTTACTTGCAGCTCACAAGCGTGTTCAGGAGGATGATTTCCGAACTGTGGACCCTGCAACGTGTTCCGCACTGGTGCTTCCCGATTTCTGTTACGTCACCAACCTGTCAACAAACACCTGTATATCTTCTACAGCGCCTGACGCATTTCCCACCATTAGTGTAGAAATTAAGGTTTGTCCTCTAAAATGAAGCATGATTGCCTCAACATTACATCTACAATTGTACTGTTTTTACACTGTAAATAGAATATAGTAGATACCTGGGAGTATTGCAAAAAGCTCAAGGATGCCTGCTTTGGTTCTCCCTTAAAAAACTTATGACAATTGCAAAAGGTTATCTAAAATTATGATTTGTCACAAATATATGCATATTTCATTTTATTTTGTAAAAAATGAAATTTGTCAGATTTTCCTGAGTTTTAGAATAGCTATTAACAGTGTTCTCTTAATACATCTTTCAAGCGATGTGTATACTAAGAAGCCTGTATGGATTTCTTTTGGTTAGATAAGTCAAATTTTATTCTATGAAATAAACTTGATATATAAGATTAAAATATTTTTATGTATTTTCAATTTAGCCAAAGAAAGGCTTCATCCCACTGTCTGCTCTGAGTACTGAGTCCTCTACACTGAAGACCGGAGTCTGTAAATTCTGCATGCATCAGAGATTAAAGGTAAGGCTCCGCCAATGAATTCAAGATCAGGATTGTCCCTTATGGTGTGGGGGAGGGATAGGAAGGGGGCTAGGTTTTATTTAAAACCATTGCAGCTATAGTTCACCTGGAATTTTCCTTTGAGATTCTTTGTTCTTAAGCCAAAGAGATGTTAATGTACGTGTCCGATTCCTCAGAAGATGAAGTCAGAGGAAACATTGGCTGAAGAGGGCTATAGATATCATTTTGTTTTGTTCATTGTTGTAGCTCCCCAGTTCTACAACAAAATTACAGGAGGAGAATACTGACATAACTGTTAATGTTTTTGACCGGTCAACAGGGGATGCTCACTCCTCCAAGGCACCTGATCCCACCTGTGGAATTGGAAGGTGTCTATGTTTATGCCCTGTTCAGATTTGTATTGTGGGAAGTTTTTATGAGATTGATCGCTGTCATTATCTTCAGTTCTTTACCCCCTTTTCATATGCATTTGTAAAGAAGCAAGGTTGAGCTCAGCGCTGGTTAATCTCATTTGTGGATACCAAGTTGATTGCACTCCTGATGGGTAGGGGGTGGAGATCTATCCTATTGCAGACCTGTTTACTCTTAAGATTTCGCCGTATTTCGTACGGATTTTTAGTCTAAAATACGTCTCACGGTTTGCCATTATGAAAATACGGAAATCGGGAAAACATTAGTTTGGAATTTAACAATTACTTTTCGTTATGATCTGTCTTAGTTTCACCCCTTTTATCGCTGAACAAGAGAAAGATTTCAAACACATAAGCGATGTCAGTTTGTCAAAACGCTGTGGTATTATTAAATGAGAGAGACCTTGTTGTTAAATTATGTTTTTGTAATCAGAAAAGCAGTTTTTCTTTTTTAATATGTGTAAAATCGATGGAAAGTGAAATCTTACTGGCAAATGCCAAATCTCACGGACAAATCTAATAAAAAATACTGAGAAACAGCATTATGGGTAAACAGGTCTGCTATCGTAACACTCTTCTTTGAATTGTTTGTACACACCTGGTCTCAGCTTGTTTTAAAGGCTTTTAAAAGCAAACAAGAGCCTTAAATCTTTGACGAAATGACAAAGATTCAAATTGGAGCAACGGTGCATCCATGATTATACATTTGAATAATATGACAAGACGTAGAAGTAAAATGTAAGAAGCTTGAATTAAGGATTACAGGAAATGGAAAAAACAGAAGACTGATCAGATTATTCCATCATACCTAGCTCACGTTTCACGCAGTGTGACAGATAATTATATTGGATAACTTATTGGGATGAGGATGAAATTAATTATATTGCCTAAATAGAGAAGCTAGAAAATCAAAGATATTTAAAAAAAAAAAATAGGAAAGGAGGGGTAGGGGGGTATGGAGGTAAAACAAAATGTTAGAAGTGTAAGTATTGATTCCTGGCAATGTGTCGAAAAGCAGGTGTGATACAGTATTTATTCAGTAAACGATAGGATGTGTTTCCATTATCTATGTTATGCAATATCAGCAGCACAAGTTCAATTACTGGGTGAGGATAGAAATAAATGCTACTCGGAGGATTGTGTGAACAGTTGCATAAGATGGATCGGAAAAAAGAGCTGATTGACTCCTTCTTGAACTCAAGATGTATCAGAAGCCATCATGGTCATGCCAAGCCAAAATCTGTAAATGAAAGAAAATGACATGGTCAGCCCAAATTATAGCAAACAAGCGTGTTTAATAGGAAAGTTGAATTTGGTCAGTGGTCTATAATTAATTGAATTTCCTGCCAGTAAATGAAATCTAATATTGGTTATGTGGATGGTATGGAGTGGGTAGTCATGGCCTTGATGTATGGGCTTTGTGTAACAGAGTTGCTGTCAAGGGCATAATTTTCCATCAAGTATTGGATACTTTGTTTAATTAATTCTTGGATATTGTGTTCGAATATTCAATGAAGTAATTAAAATGTATTTAATGGTTTTTATATTGCCATGTATTTCAATTCTATTAGTGTCAAATGAGTAGTCAAATTGGTTTTATTTTTACAAAGTTGATGGAGGGGGTAAATTGACTGTTATCATACATTTGTTAGTATTGAAGCTACAGGACTATGTGTTTCAGAAAAATGCAATGTTAGTAAAAGTTCGGGGTTAGGTAGATACCCAAGTGTCAAATGATAAAACTATATATATAATATATCATATGATGAAGTTCACACCTGGAAAAGAACAATCTAATGTATTGGCTTCTGCAGTAGGTGTTTTATGTGATTTGTTTGTTTGTTTTGAGCATATTTTATTGACAATATGTCAAAGGGATTGGACACAAGTTCGGAAAACTTAGATATAGTCCTCTCCCAAGTTTTTTTGTTTTGTTTTGATCATTTAGAAAAGAATTAAAGATAATTAATTGAATACTCCTAACGTACAAAGAAGAATTAGACAATAAATAAGAATTTTGGATAAGAATAATGAGAGAGCAGTATGAAGAGTTTGTTATAAACATCTTATAAGACTGTTTATTAGGGGATTAGGGGCCTTTGTCACTTTAGCCTAGCTGTCAGAGTCTTTGTTCAGATGGAACTCTTTGTGTTCAAAGTGTCATTCGGAGTACACATTTATCAGAGTGTTTACAAATACACCGGTTGACTGCCCCCTCCTTTAAGTTTAAGTCCGGCTTTATAATGCATTGAGGGGGCCCCATGTTATCTGTTGACATCAGTATTCTATATGTGGGATTTATTTCGTTCCTTTGTAAGCGATCCGGATTTGGGTCAGTGCGATTACATTATTTACTACTGGCAAGGTTCCGCACTCGGAGCATTAGACATATGTTTCAAGTAGCTTCCTTTGTTGGATTGGGCGATTCGTCATCCAGTGTTCACCGCATTAAAAGTTCTTTATATCTACCTGTGGGGTTTTTGTTCCATTTCACCTGTAAATTTACGTTAGTATATATTTAGTCGGATCTGATAACAGTTCGCATTAAAGGTGCTTTTTTGGATAGGGACATGGTTTAGGGATTTATTGTACAATCTGATAGAAATATTTTGTAAACCAGTCCTCTGCTTACATGGTTTGTTAAAAGTATACGTGGGCAACACCCATGCCTAGTTTGTACATGTGAAATGGATGAAAAATTCTGTAATAGCTAGTTTTTGTTAAACAATTCCTGTGTGATATGAAACTTTTAAAAAGCATTTTCAAGTTCTGACAAAAATGACTATCATTTTCCGTTTAATAAAGATGGATAGTGAAGATTTCATAGAAATATAGATCATACTAATGCATAAGCTAGTACTTATTAGTTCATTTTCATTAAAAAAATTCAGTATGTGATATTAATTTGGACAAAATAATACTGTATGTCTTAACTGTTAAATACCAGTCGAGAATTAAAAAGGTATTTAATCAAATGCACCATATGTCTGGTATTCATAAATTATTTGAGTCAACCATTATTATTATTCATTTATGATTAAGAGATTGTATTAGTTCAATCTGCCATTAGTAATAATTCCATGTTAGTGAAAAATTCAGCACGTTCAACAAGAACATTGTGTGTCCACTGTTCACCTGTCCCGTTTCACCTTGATTTCAATCCTTTGTCACCTGTTTCTATTTTTAGTGACGGGGACATTAACACTTGTGTCCGGAATCCAAAGGGGGTAAATCTAGGGTTGTGTTCCGTTATCTTTAAGCGGTACATTATTATAAATGAAGGCTATCATGAAGTATAAATATTTTGTTGAGATAACACCTTGGGGGATGACCATACACAAAGTGACTGTAGATTGAAAAGCCAGATTTGGACCAAATTTTGCCAGTGGCTGGAGTTATAATGAACTGGACTTCACTTCAGTACACCTGGAGTTATAATGCTAAATTTAAGTTAATTGCCCACTAAACATGTAGGTCATGGGTATCTTTATATATACATTGTATGCATCATGTTATGCCACTTCCTCTAGCCCTGAGGATTGCAGCATGTTTGATTTGTTGGAGATTAGGGTTTTTCTGAAAATGTGTTTATTGATATGTGTTTTTATTGTCAAAAAGTGCTATGATTGACACATAGATGTGTGTTTTATTAAAACTTGACGTATTGGCTTTTATATGTACATGAGTACATGTTTTGTGAACTCCTCTGAATAAGGATTCAAACATTTTTTTTCTTCATTCAAGATTTTTTTGGAAATCCATTTTTTTCAACTCTTATATACAAATGTATTGATATATTCTTGAAGATTTGAAGGAGAAATTCAATTAATTAATATTGTATTTGAATTCCCTTCATGTACATGTATAAAAAATAGTACTTGTGTGGGCATATTTGGCAAGTCATCACAATTTCAACCTATATAAAATAAGGCTAAGGCCTCGTATTTATATCTTGATTGAAGTGATTCGTTTAGGTACAAAAGCCCCTTTTTACTGGCAGCAGACTAATAAGAAGACATAAACTGAGTTCCCATTGAACTATTTTATTGACAAGTGCAAATAACGACCATGTACTTAAACCTGTTGCAGTGTGTTACGTAATGTTAAATTATCGTCCCAAGGTCTGGATATCTGTATAGAGTTTGTTTCCTTTCACTTCTTTAATCTAATCAGACAAAAGGTGTAGTGTTATAGTAACTGGTACTCTGGTTCTCTTTGTGCAATTTGAAATATATTGAATGTATTTCTTATTTCTTTTTCTGGCCATTGCTCTAGCTTACCAGTACATTGATTTTGAAAATATCTGTCAATATTATCTATCGTTGATAGACTACTGGCTAGGACTGTATACAAAATGCTCCAATAATTATTTTAAGAAAAAAACCTGGGACACCACCACCACCACCACCCACCCCTACCCCCCTCCAAGAAAAAAGTTTTTTTGTAAATTTTGTTCAGTTTTTATCACAGTACAGAGAAAGGCACCCTGAGAGGAAGTAATAATCTTTTGCCTGATATATCCTCTATATCTTGATCTATTTATATATTTTCTCTTGCCATTAGAAAAAATAATGTACATATTAATTTGAT